GACTTGGCCAGCCACAACACCCATTCCATCTATGATCTGCTGGAGCACTGAAGGGACCTGACCCGCAGACCCAAAGCTGCAGGATCCCCATGATACAGGGCAACAACAGGATATCCAAGAAGAACCCTAGTGAGGGCCCAGCACCAATAGTGTAATAGACACCCGAGGCCTCGAACCACACCAACGACTCTTTGCAATGAATACTTGCAAGTAAAGATGTATGGACAAAGGTGTTTACTCCCCGATTCAGTGTGTCACACTGAAGCTTCCATGGTGAGATTTTTAATTTTTCCCTTTTTATTTATTAATTTTCTTTTTTTTTTCTCTCTTAAATTTTGTTTTATTTGGGGGGAAGGTGCAGGGGAAGAGGGCGGATGCCAAGGGACGGGGTAATGAATGGGATCAAGATACACGATGCAAAACACACACAGAATGAATAAAACGAAAGTTAGAAAATAAAATACTGGCTGATAGGGCTGGAGAGATGGCTCAGCCGTTAAAGGCTAGGCTCACAACCAAAAATATAAAATACTGGCTGATAAAAAGAAGAAAAAAAACATGTAAGTAATGGAGTGTGGCTGGAAGAGGGAGGCACGTTCAGTGAATGTTCCTGCAACAGACAGGAGGCTTGGTACCGGTACAAGGCCAGAAAGCATCCTGGACGCAATGCAGCAAAATGATTTACTGCTCGGCACACGGAACTGAAGGGCAAATCCCTGCCTTCTCCTTTCCCCAAACCTCGAAGGTCTGGTCCACTCACTAAGAGATCTGTAGACAAATATACACAGAGCGTTTTCACACAAAAAATAAAACAGCTGCCTACGTCTGAGGTACGCAGGGATGAAAGTCATTTTTGAAGGCAGTCGGGTTGAACCTTACCGATCACCACACCCCTCTTGAACGGCAAGGTAGAAGGTAAAATGTGTGCGATATTTAGGGCCCCGGGAAGGCAGAAATTCAGGAAATGCCCAGCATCAGGACAGGAAAGAGCTCTGGGAGGGCAGCCTCCATCCCTCCTTCCCCAGGTCCTCTGAATATTTTTCTTGATGTGGAGATTGAGAGATTGAAGGAGAGGGCGCATGCTCAGCAAGGACCCGTTTATTTTCATGCCATTGCAAGGAAAGTTTCCTTGATGGGATGGGTGCACAACTCACCTGCAGCCCTGAGCCCTTGCTGCAGCTGAAGAGGAAAAGTGGGGACGCGCAAGCGCAGTACCTCACCCCGGAAGCAGTTTCCGCGCAGGCGCACTCTCGTACTGTGGCCTGCCTTGACTTGGGAACTGAGTCCTCTTCCGAGCCGCTTCGTGGGACGCGTGGGACGCGGCGTCCCTGATCCCACGTTCTTCTGCTTTCCGAGGCCCGGAAGCGGGGTGCAGCTCTGGGGCTGCGGGAGCCGAGACCTTGGGAACTTGCTTGTCCACGCTTCCTCGGTCCCGGGAGCGCAGGGCTGGAGTCTGCTGCCCCCTGCCGGCCGGACCGATGCGTGCATCAACTCCTTCCTTGAGCTAAGATTCCCAAATGAAGGAAGATTTTTTCCTTAGGAAGGCAATGTACACGCAGTCTACAAGTAGGATGTCCAAAGAATCCAAGTTGATCTGGTTTAAAGCCCGAGTTCCCTTAGGGCTTACTGTCTCTAGGATCAGGCAGATGTGGGAGTGACATCAAGATCTGGCTGCTTTTTTTTTTTTTTTTTTTTTACCCCAGTGAGACAAGTACTACCAGTCTTAGATGTCCTGGAGAAATGGTACAAAACATCAGAACTGGAAAACATTTGGAGTCTTGCAAGTCCAGGGGAATCAGTTCCCAGAAAAGAACCTTAAAATGTCACGAAATCGTGCCTCTTGGTAAATTCTCAAGCCACTCCGGTTTTGCCCTCTAGGCTGGATTTTTTTTTTTTAACTAGGACAAACACTCTGCCCCCAATTATATAATAGCCGTCCAGGTATTGAGGAAGACTCCAGAATGCTTTTGTGGTGGGGAATAACGGAATTCACCAGAATACATAAACAAACCTAATATATACGTTAAATCTTCTAACATTCATTTGCTGAACCAATTCTTTCCACAGTGCAAGTATTTGGGGGAAATAATGTGACTGTGTTTTGAGAATTGGGAAGTCTAAACCGGTCCTAGGGGATTCACCAATCCCTGGAAGAGTCACAGGAGCACCAGCAGCATGTCACAGGGATTAGAGGCAGTGGCATCCAGATGTTTGCCTCTGAGTTCTCCTGGCTCTCCTTCCCAACCTGCCATGTCCACCCTCACCCCAGTCTTCTCTCTCCCCTCAGACTCACAGAACACTTTCCCTACCAAAAATAGAATGAGAACACTTTGGGAATGCTTTATTATTTCCATGACATGACTTGGGTAAACGATTGTTCCTTTTATCTCATACTGGATTTAAAGAGTTT